GATGGGTCTTGTTTTTTAATCCAATCTGATAGCCTGTGTCTTTTGATTGGGGCATTTAGCCCATTTACATTCAGGGTAACTATTGAAAGATATGAATTTAGTGCCATTGTATTGCCTATAAGGTGACTGTTACTGTATATTGTCTGTGTTTCTTTCTGGTCTGTGTTGCTTTTAGGCTCTCTCTTTGCTTAGAGGACCCCTTTCAATATTTCTTGCAGGGCTGGTTTCATGTTTGCAAATTCCTTTAGTTTTTGTTTGTCCTGGAAGCTTTTTATCTCTCCTTCTATTTTCAATGACAGCCTAGCTGGATATAGTATTCTTGGCTGCATATTTTTCTCACTTAGTGCTCTGAATATATCCTGCCAGTCCTTTCTGGCCTGCCAGGTCTCTGTGGCTAGGTCTGTTGCCAATCTAATGTTTCTACTATTGTAGGTTACAGATCTCTTCTCCTGAGCTGCTTTCAGGATTTTCTCTTTGTCTGTGAGACTCGTAAGTTTTACTATTAGATGTCGGGGTGTTGACCTATTTTTATTGATTTTGAGAGGGGTTGTCTGTGCCTCCTGGATTTTGATGCCTGTTTCCTTCCCCAAATTAGGGAAGTTCTCTGCTATAATTTGCTCCAATATACCTTCTGCCCCTCTCTCTCTTTCTTCTTCTGGGATCCCAATTATTCTAATGTTGTTTCGTCTTACGGTATTGCTTATCTCTTGAATTCTGCCCTCATGATCCAGTAGTTGTTTATCTCTCTTTTTCTCAGCTTCTTTATTTTCCATCATTTGGTCTTTTATATCACTAATTCTCTCTTCTGCCTCATTTATCCTAGCAGTTAGAGCCAAAAGATTTTATGAAAGGAATTAATAAGATGTTGGTTGAAAAAAGAAAAGAGAAATTAAAAGAAAAAAAAAGGGAGAGAATGTGATCAGGCAGGAGACTAGAACAAAGCCATACACTACAGATTTAGGGTATATTTTGGTCTGTTAGAATAAACTGTATCCCAAAATTTTAAAGAGAGAACAACTTATATATATATACCAAAAATAAGGTTAACTACTATGAAGGGATAGACTATGACTCTAAAAATGAAAAATAAAAAAGATTTTATTTTATAATAAAATAAATAATAAAATATTTTATAATAAAATAAAAAATAAAAAAGATTTTAAAAAAGGGATTAAGATGTTGGTTGAAAAAGGGAAAAAGAAAAATTCAAAAAAGAAAGAAATAAAAAGAACAAAAAGAAAATTTAAAAAATTACCTTTAAAAGACTAAAGAATCAGGGGGAAAAAAGCCATGAATTCTATGTGCTGTATTCCCCTAGCACTGGCGTTCTGCTGTTCTCATTGATCGGTAAACTTGGCCTTGGCTGGCTGTTCCTGCTGATCTGGGGGAGGGGCCTGTTGCCATGGTTCTCAAGTGTCTTTACCGGAGGCAGAATTGCCCCCCCCTTGTGGGGTGAAAATGGCGGCCTCCCAATTTCCACCCCAGAGGAGCCGAGAACTCAGGGCCCCACTCCTCAGTGAGCCCCTAGAGAAAAGCAGTCAGTCACTCCCGTCTCCCCGGTCTCCAGCCACACTCTATGCTCACCCAGCCTGTGACCGAGCATTTCTATCTTTGGCACACAACCCCGTGTGGAGTCTCCAAACCCAGCAGATCCCTGCGGTGCGCTCTAGTGCCGCTTCTCCCCAGGGGGAGGAAGGGGAGTCTCCCCAGATCTGCCAGTTGTTGGGTCTCTGCTGGAAGAGCAGTGGCCCGACTGTACCGTGGATCACGGTTTAGTGCAACCCCGAGCTGAGAGCCCACTTCTCGGCTCGTCTCTGCAGCCGGCTTCGGCACTCTGATACCTGGGATCTCTGCCGCACTCAGGCACCCCCGGTCTTTCTGTGACCCCGAGGGTCCTGAGACCACACTGTCCCACGAGGGTTCCACCCCCCGCTTAGCCACTGGAGCGACGTCCCTTAGCAGAGCAGACTTCTAAAACTTCTGATTTTGTCCTCCGCTGCTCTATCACTTGCCAGAAGCAGCCAATGGAGGCCCCCTCCCCTGCCGTCTATCCTCCCGAATATCACCTCAGATTCACTTCTCTTCACATCCTACCTTCCAGAAAGTGGTCGCCTTTCTCTTCAGAGAGTTGTTGCTATTCTTTTCTTCAATCTCCTGTTGAGTTCGTAGGTGTTCAGAATGGTTTGATCCCTATCCAGCTGAATTCCTGGGACCAGACGAAATTTAGGTCTCCTACTTCTCTGTCATCTTGCTCCTCCCCCTGCCTTTATTTTTTGAAGCATAATTTCACTGCATATGGGATCTTGGGTTGACAGATTTTTTTTCCGTCAGTACTATATATAGCTATTACTGCAAAGTCTTCTAGCTTCCATGGTTTCTGAAAGATGATCTTCTGTAACTTTTATCATTGGTTCTGTACATATAATGTGTCATTTTCTCTGGCTGCTTTCATAGTTTTCTTTGGTTTTTAGCAGTTTGACTATAATGAGTCTAGGGTGTGTGTATTTGGTGTTTGTTCTACAAAGGCTTCTTTGAGGTTTATGTGTCTGTGATTTGGTCGCTTTCATTAATTTTGGAAAGTTCATGGCCATTATACCTTCAAATATTTCCTCTGTTCTGTTTTCTCCTTTTGGGACTCTGATTTCACATGTTAGATCAATTTAGCTCTTGGATGCTCTGTTTTTTTTCTTTCCTTCTCCAATTCTTTTTTGTTTGTTTGGATATTTTTTATTGACTTATTTCAAGTTTACTAATCTTTTCCTTAGTTCTTTCAAGCATATCCATTAGCCCATCAAAGAAATTCTTCATCTCTGATGCCATGTTTTCTATTTCCAGCATTTTCAGATGACTCTTACACTTCCCATCTTTCTGCTTTGGTACCCCATCTGTTCATGCCTGTTGTCCCCCTTTTTCTATAAATCTTTTACCTTAATAATTATAATCATTTTCAAGTCAGTCTGATAATTCTGATAATTCCATTATCCTTGTCATCTCTGAATCTAATTATGTTAATTATTTTCTCTCTCAACAATGGGTTCTTTATTCCTTGCTATTTTCCCCTGAGTATGGTGGCTTTGAATTGTATTTATGCCTTAAAGTGGGCATGCCTTTTCTGTCAGAATGTTAGTGTTGGAAATTAAATTATCGTCAGGTCAGAAGTTCAGATAGGTTTGGATTTTGTTTTTGCCATCATTATCTTTAGTGCATCACAGTCTTCAAATTCCTCCAGATTCCTCCAGTGGGCTACTGCTGCATTGTATTTAGGATGGATGCAGGAGTATCAGAAGTTTTTTCCAGTGTTTTGCTACCCCGTCAGCCATTTCCATTTACTTACTCCACAGGGGGCATCTCTCCATATGGTCTTGCCCCTTCCCCAGCAGTAGTCTATTGATGCTTATTTCTTGATTCTAGATTTGTGGCAGGGGCAAGGTGTTTTGTTGTTTTCCTGCCCTTCATCTTTGTCGGGACCTGTCCATCTGGGCCTCATGGATGAGGTTTGCTCAGAGTTCTTAGGGCCTTCTTCCCATAGAAGTAAATCTGCCTTGTATCTCTGATAGGTTTGGGATGGGAATTTCCATCCCTTCCCTAGTTATGAAAGGCCTTTGATTTGAGCTAAGGATGTTGGCTGAAGATGGTTTCCTGTCCCTCTTTCATGGGTAGAGGTTGTTTTTCCATTTAACCTTTTCCCTAGCTGCAGTGGATCTTTGCCTTTGCCCTGGGGATGACAGAGTTTCCTTCTTCTCCCTATGGTTTATAGCTTTGACATTTTTAGGAGAGATAGTCTGGGGAATGTGCCTGTACCCCAGCAACCACTAGTTACTCTTTTACACCTACACATGTGTACCCCAAAGAATTATTCTTATGCCTTGCTCCCTATCTTCCTCATAAGTAACCAGTAGAGGCCTGCAGAAAAGTGCTGTGAGTGAATGTGAACTTTCCTTGCACCTGGGCCTCTAGCTATTCCAAACTGTCATGTTAGCCCACACTTGGCCTTTTACAATTTGTCAAAATTTTAACTGATTTCCTCTTACCTGCTTGAATGGTGGCCCCTCTTTCTCCTTCTCTTCTGCCCTGCCAATGGTGAAACAGTGTATTTCGTTTCTCTTTGGAGGGGCTTGCTGTTCTTTGGAGTTCAGATTATTATTTGTTTGCCTTATATCCTCAACTCTCTGATGGGCTCAAGAAAAGTTATGATTTTGTAGATTAGTTAGCCTTTTAGCATTTTTAGGTTGGGAGTGACATTATTTACAGTTTTGTAAGTCCTAAGCAGAGTTAATTATAGTTTTAAAACATTTTTAAATTTCCTTTATGAAGATAGTGGGGGTGAAAAATTTTATCAGTATTTATTTTTAAAGAGTAAATAATACCTCTTTCCAGGCAACTTTTTTCTCATTTTTTTGGTTTGTTTTTAAGATAAAAATTGGCCTTACTTTTATTTGTACAGCCTTATTTGCTAGGCTCCTAATATTTCTCAGTGTTTTTAAAGCCAACTAATATCCAGACTGTAAGCAGATTTAAACAATTAGTGAAAGCACTCATCCAGTGTTTTCCCCTCTGTTTGGATTCTTAAGATCACTCCAACTGAGAGTTGTCTCAATGATTTGAAGTTCATAGATTTTGGCTGTACTGTGTAAGTCAAATCAGCTCAGTCTATTTCTGAGCTAAACCTTTGAAAAATAATATTTTAAATATTTTAGGGCATATTATTGAAATATGTTACAAATGGTAGATAGAAATTACAATTATAACTCAAAGAGATATCTCTATTAACATGTATTAATTGGCCCTTAAATTACCATGTATATCAGAGGGCAGAACTAGTTGTAACACTCTTGTAATGTGCCATGTAGGATGTTATTCTATAATCAGAAAATTAAATTTTTATTCTTTATGCTCATTTTATGAATTTTTTGGATATAAAATTGTGTATAGATTGTTGTAATTATTATTTTTTTGAGACCATCAGGAAATCAAATTTTTCTTATCTATTTTCTCTGCAGAAAACTTCATCAGCAGTTTGAAATGTACAAGGAGCAGGTGAAGAAGATGGGAGAAGAATCACAACAGCAGCAAGAACAGAAGGGTGATGCCCCAACCTGTGGTATTTGCCACAAAACAAAATTTGCTGATGGATGTGGCCATAACTGTTCATATTGCCAAACAAAGTTCTGTGCTCGTTGTGGAGGTCGAGTGTCATTACGTTCAAACAAGGTACAGAATGAAAACTACACATAATTCAGTTATAACTAAGCTTATAATACAGTTAAGCTAATTGTGAATAAAATAAAGCAGACAATTGAAATTAATATTCAGGTTAACCAATGAACAAAAAAACCTATAGTGTCCTCATTTTAGATAAGAAATTTTTAATTTTTCCTTTCAGTTAAAGAGATTTGTCTATTGTTTATGTCTTTTAGCTAATGATTTTGTTTAGAATCATAGGATCTTAAACTTTCAAAGATGATGAAGATAATGTAGAGATCAATTGGTCTAACTCCTTTATTTCACAGATGCAGAAAACTCCGATTCAGGGAGAATTAAGGTCATTCTTAAAGTCACACAACTGATTAATGTTAGAGCAGTGACATTGCTTTTTCCATTACTATACATAATTTTATAACTTTGTAGATCTACCTGTCCTTTGATCCCTGTTTTCTTTCCTTTCAAAGAGGCTCTTCCCAGCTTATAGAGTCTATGTTTTATAATTTTATAGCTTTTGAAGCTACATTACCCTTTATTTTTGTTTTAACATTAATGAAATAAACATTAGACTATGGAATTTAAAGAAATGTTAAGGAAATGTTTTATACTAGATTTTTGTAGTTTATCCATCCACTTTAGGGAATATGTTAATGCTGCCCAAGGAATGCTTTGCTGAAATAAGCAAAAATAGTTATTATGTTTTTCTCAGTAAGTTCTTTAGAATTTGCATTTATCTCCTCCCTAGTATTTCATCACTTAATTCTTTACTTAGGCAGCTTTAAAATAGGAAGCTGATGTTTGTACATACATTACTTAGACATAATTATGGGGATTTGTTCTCCTGTGTGATTTCATGTCTCCATTTTCTCACCGTTTCCTGTTTCTCATTGTTTTGTTTTGCCCAGAATAAATAATTTCCCATTTTTACCTCTAGTCTTTCCCCCTGGTTTACCTGATTATTTTTCTTTTCCTCGACTAGTTACATTGGCTAGAAACTCCAGCACAGTTCTGAATAGAAATGGTGAGAGCACACTCCCTGTTTTGTTCTTGATCTTAGGGAGGAAGCATTCAGTCCTTCTCTATTAGATATTATATTAGCTGTCAGCTTTTCATAGATGCTATCTATTCCTAATTTGCTGAGAGATTTTTTTGGTTTATTTGTTTGTTTTTACATCAGGAATATGTGATGGAAATTGTCAAATGCTTTCCCTCCGTCTATTGAAATTAATCATGTTTTTTCTTTGCCTGTTAATGTAGTAATGAACTACATTGGTTGATTTTGAAATGCTAAACCAACTATATTCCCCTGGACACATCCCATTTGCTTAAGATGGATTAACCCTTTTATGTAATAATGAGTTTGATTTATTAAAGTTTTGTATATAACTTTTGCTTCATGAGTGTTAGTGTCTGTAGTTTTCTTTTCTTGAAATGTGTTTCTTTGATTTTGGTATCACAGTAATGCTGGCCTGATAAAATAAATTGGGAAGTATTTCCCTCTCTTCAGTGTTTTAGAAAAGTTTCTGTAGGATTGGTATTATTTATCCTTTAATGTTTTGTAGATTTTACCAGGGAAGCCGTCTGGGCATGCTGTTTAATTTTTGGGAAGGTTTTAAAGTACAGTTTCAATTTCTTTTAATAGGTATAGAATTGTTCCAGTCATTTATTTTTTTCTTGAATGAGCTTTGGTGTTTTTCAAGGAATTTCTCCAGATCCTCATAATTTGTCAAATTTATTGGCATAAACCTATTCACAGTATTCCATTATTATTCTTTAATACCTGTAGATTCTGTAGTGATGCTACCTTTTTCATTTCTGATATTGGTAATTTGCATCTTCTCTCTTTTTTCCTGCTTAATTTGGCTAGAAATATATCAATTTTAATGATCTTCTCAAATAATGAGTTTTTTGTTCCATTGGTTTTCTGTTGTTGATTTCATCTTTGATCTTTATTATTTCTTTAATTCTGCTGATTTGGGGTTTAATTTTCTCTTTTTCTGGTTCCTTAAGGTGGGAGCTGAGGTCTTTGCTTTGAGATGTCTCTTCTTTTCTAATATAGGCATTACATGCTGTCAGTTTCCCCTAAGTACTTCTTTGGTGACATCCCCCAAATTCTGATATGTTATCTTTCATTTTCATTCAGTTTAAAATACTTTCAGGTTTTCCTTTTCTTCTTTGACGCATGAATAATTTAGAAGTATGTTGTTTATTTTCCACATATTTAGGGAGTTTCCAGAGATCTTGATGGTAATGATTTTTAATTTAATTCTGTTGTGGTCCCAGACATACTTTGAATACCTTGAATCCTTTGAAATGTATTCATACTTATTTTATGATTAGTACATGGTTTATTTTGTTAAATGTCTGTGTATACTTGAAAAGGATATATATTCTTTAATTTTTTTTTTTTAAGATTTTACTTATTCATTTGAAGAGAGAGAGACAAAGAGAGCACAAGCAGGGGGGAGAGGCAGAGGGAGAGAGAGAAGCAGACTCCCCACTGAGCTGGGAGCCTGACTCGGGGCTCGATCCCAGGACCTGGAGATCATGACCTGAGCCAAAGGCAGATGCTTAACGATCTGAGCCACCCAGGTGCTCCTTCTTTAATTTTTTGATGGAGTGTTTTTAAATGTCCTTTAAGTCAAGTTGGTTAATAGAGTTATTCAAGTCTAGTATATCCTTTTTGATCTTTTGCTTATTTATTTTATCAATTATTTAAGAGAAGGATATTGAAATATACAACATACTTGAATTAGTCTGTTTCCTTTTGCAGTTCTATGTATTTTTGTTTTTGTTTTATGTATTTTATTAAGTTCTGTTTTTAAATGCATAAACATTTAGAATTATTCAGTTCCTATTAATAAATTGATCACTTTATAATCATAAAATGGCTTCCTTTATTCCTGGTAATATTCTTTGCTCTGAAATCCACTTTGTCTAATCTTAATAAAGCTACTCTAACTTTCTTTAATAGATAGTATTAACATGGTTTACATTTTTCTCTTTTACTTTAGACTAATTTGTGTCTTCATATTTAAAGTATTTTTCTTATAGGCAGCATATAATTGGGCCTTGCTTTCTTATTCAACCTGATAATCTCTACCTTTTAATTGGGGTCTTAGATAATTTACATTTAATATAATATTTGATATGGTTACTTTGGTTATATCATTTTCCTTTTTTTCTACTTGTACCATCTGTTTTTTTTTTTTAAGTCTCCTTTGAATTAGTCAAGCACTTTTTATGATTCAGGTTATCTCCTTTGTTACCTCATTAGCTTTGTGACTATTTTATAGCTTTGTTGGTTCTTTGTTTTGTCATTTTATTAATTGCTTCAGGATCTGTAGTATACATCTTTAAATTATCATCATCAGACTTAACCGATATTATACTATTTTACGTATAGTATAATATAAGAACCTTCTAATAGTGTGTTTCCATTTCTACTCTTTTGGACTTTATGTTATGGTGTGATGTATTTTACTTTTACTTGTCTTATAACCTGACAATACACTGTTATTCTTTTTTGTTTAAAAAGTTTATCTTTTAAGGCGTTTTAAATAATAAAAGAAATATTGTATATTCACTGTCATCATTATCATTTCTGGTACTATTCATTTCTTTTCAGAGTTCTGTATTTCTGTATGGTATCGTATTTTATTTGCCTGAAATATTTCCTTCAATATTTATTGTAGTGTGAGTCTGCTGATGATGAATACTTTAAACTTTTTCTGCTGAAAATTTTGCTTTTTTTATTTTAAAGATTTTTTTTCTAGGTATAGAATTCTAGGTTGAGGGTTGCTTTCTTTCAGTATTTTAAAGATGTTGTTTCACTGTTTCCAATTAGAAGTGTGATACCATTCTCATCTTTGTTCTTCTCTATATAATAGGTTCTTTTTTTCTGAATGCTTTTTTTTTAAAGATTTATTTATTTATTATTGAGCGTGGGGTAGGGGTGGAGAGGAGGGGCAGTCTTAAGCAGATTTCACGCTGAGTGTAGAGCCAACTGTGGGGCTCCATCTCACTGTCCTGAGATCACGACCTGAGCCGAAACCAAGAGTTAAACACTTAACCAACTGCACCACCCAGGTTCCCCTGTCTAATTGCTTTTAAGATAATTCTTTTTATCACTGGTTATGTGAAATTTAATTATGATGTTTCTTTGTGTATTTTTATTCATGTTTCTTGTGTTTGGAGCCTTTTTGAGCTTTTTTGATCTGTGAGTTTATAGTTTTTGTAGGGTTTTGGAAAATTTTGGCCGTCATTTCTTAAAAATATTTTTTTAATTAACATATAATGTATTGTTTCGGGGGTACAGGTCTGTGATTCATCAGTCTTACATAATACACAGTGCTCACCACAACACATACCAAATATTTTTATTGGGCTTTTCTTTTTCTCTTTTCCTTCAGGAACTCCCATTACCCATACATTAGGCTGCTTGAAGTGTTTTACAGCTCACTTATGTTATTTTCATTAAACCAAATTTTATTTTTCTCTTTGCTTTTCATTTTAAGTATGTTTTATTGCTGTGCTTTTGGGTTTACTCATTTTTTTTTTGTCAATGTCATATCTGCTGTTAATACCATTCAGTGTATTTTTTCATCTCAGAATTTCAATTTTGAACTTTTTAAAATATCTTCTATGATCTACTTAAGTTTTTGTACATGTAGAATACATGCTCTTAATAACTGTTTTGATGTTCTCTTCTGCTATTTTCAACATCTTGTCAGTTTTTGGTTGGTTTTGATTGATTATTCTCATTATGATATGTGTTTTCCTGACTCTCTCCTGAGTACTTTAACCACTTTTATATATGTTTATTAGATGTGAATTAAGAGTTTTTCTAGTTTTGCTGATGGAAACATCCACTGTTGGCTCTAACCCTTCAGATGACTTTTTTCACATGCATGCTCACTCATCATTACTAGCTGAATACTTGAAGGGACTCCCTGCAGATCTGTAGGGTTCTCCCTCTGCGGTTTTCTCTTCTCTAGTAAGTTGGCCTA